GAATATAAATGAATGGAGATTGAGGGTGAACATCAATTAGACAGCAAACCAACAACACAAGATAAAGAATAAAATATACATTATTTTATATGGCTGTTACTGTGATGTCATTAATATTTTGGGGATAACAATTAACCTGGGTTTCTTGGATATCAGGACACAGCAGATTCAAATACTACAGGAAATACATATTTAAGCTACTATGATAGGAGTAAATGATGAAACATAAAATAAGGTATCATTGAATAAACAAGTTTTTCTTAAACCACCTGAAATTGAATTCAACCAAAATTATTGAATCCTAGTGATAGTAAAACAAAGGAATATTTTAGGTTATGGGTTCCACTGGGGAAAAATCTACCATTATATACAGTATATGCAACTATATGAAGTCATTTATCAATTAATTTACTTTCTCTAATTCTTCGTCAATTTATCCCTTTCTGCACCCGTTGTATAAAAAAAAATTTAATCAACGTGTGGTTCGTTTGATCTCAGTTCTTCATTGGTTAAAATCCGATTATGACTTCGAATTTTCTTGCTTTCCTCTGAATTTCCTATTGTGACGGCATGAAAAAAGGCGACCATGCCTGATGACGTCACATAGAAAGAACACATCTTTTTGCAGATCATTCGAAAAGAAGGAATAAATTTGCCTGCGTATTGTTTGAAAATCATTAGAGAAACAGATTCCACCACCAAATCTCGTGTAATACGATATTTATCCACTCTCGACATTTAAATTTTAAATATTTAAAACGCTCGGCGAGCCTCGCGTTTTAAATTTGAAAATTTAACTGTCTCGAGTGGATAAATATACTCGATGCAGTGGTAGAATCTATATTTAGCAAGCCTTTATCATGTTTATGATACACTTTTTGAAAGGCAGATGCATTACTTATTCTAACAAAAAGATCAGGTACACTCCAAAATCACTGAACACCTTATATTTGTCTTCATAATACTGACTTCTACTATTGACTGGATAGTATGAACTAATTGTGTTAGCCATTTATAAATTCATATTACAAAATTTGACCCCTTAGTTCTGTATTTGATTGATTGATTGTTGTTTAATTAATATGACAGTGGAAAATAATTCATGCCTGTTCAGGACGAGAACAAATTAACAATAAATACAAAAGGTAGGTCCTGGGACAAGGGGTAGACCAGGATGATAGGTGGGAAATTTTTAATATCATTGAGAAATGAGGGTCTATTGGATAGGGACAGAAATTTAGCCTTACAACAGGCCACCTATGGGCCCCTAAACAGTTGTTGCAAGGGTTCTTATTAACAAGAAAGTCAAGTCTTTCGTTAAATCAACGAGAAAGTCATGTCCTTCATTAATTCAACAACTCCAACAGCATAGGCCCTATTCTGACCCAACAAGACGGGGAATCTAATGCAGCAAATCATCCAGCCAGACAGATAACAAACACTCTCTGCTGACTTAGTACAAATTAAGGTTATTAGGTTAATATAAAAACATACTTTTTCCTCCATTTAAGTCTCATTATAAAGAAAACAGACTGTCATTCCATTGTGCTCAGAGCCAAAAATTTTGTATTTTCTATTTCATTCCTAAGAGGGGAGGTTACTCCATACATCAAAAGAAAGTGACATTCATTTCTATATCAGTCAGCAAACATATCAAATTACATTAAAGTTATGTCGCAGGTATTTTAAAAACATTCTTCTTCAATGAAACTCAAACTTTACTTTATTTAATATTTACTCCATTCATTAAATAAAAGTTGAAATTATCAGTGAAAAGATAAAATCGTTAAAGAAATTCCACTAAGCCATCTTTATAACCGAGTATATTTGTGTAGCTATGACCAGCGGCATTTCTGAGGACATCACACAACAATTAATTACACCCTTTGGCGATAGTCAGATGAAGTTGAGATAAGTCCGTTTTAGATTTCGCACCACACATCACAATTATCTTGGTTGGTGTCGTCATCCAATTAGTCAATGTTTGTCTGATGATCACATACAACATTATCAAAAACTTTTGTTGTGTCGTTTACCATTTAGAAAGAAAAAAAAGAGAGAAACTTGTAAACTAACATTGTGATGAAATACATAGTAGTTACAATTCAAGTTCTTTCACTTTGCTTACTGAAAATTTTCAATTCTTAATTTCTAATTTAAATTACTTTATATGCTATCTAAAAGTTTTTAATAGCATCCTTATTTTTTTAAGTCCAAATAATTATTGCGTTTAAAAGATTTTGTTAATTTTTGCTTTGATTTCTTCCTGCATCAGTGAGGGATCTATAAAAAAACAATATATAAAATACCCTCAGCAGATGTTATAATTATCTTGACCAGCTTACTATGAAAAAATATATAAATAGGGAAAAAACTGAAATTACCATGACAAAAACTATGACTATAACAAATCTAAAATTAGCTATAGAGAAGGTCAAAAACTTTGGAAAAATTCCTTATGGACAGTTACTAGATAAAAATGCAATTTCACTTAAATAAATATTTTTTCTATCTTCAAATAGTAAGTTGTAACTTTATATGAACTATTGTAAACTTTTTCCACCCAGTGATATTAATTCTATCAACTAATGTGAATTTGTTGACTTAGATAGGAACCTTTTCACATCTCAGATATTAGAAACTAATTATGGGTATAGTTTGTGGCGACACCTATCTGCATTTCCGAGTAGTCTAGGTGTCAACTGTCATCCGATTCAGTCCATTCCTATGACATTGTCTTGTAACATATATATACAAAATGTAAGTAATATTGAATAAAATCTTTTTATTTGTATTTCCTGGGAACCAACCATTATGAAAAAATTTACAAATAATAAAAAAAATATTGAGTTCATATTTTGCGCTTGATTTCAGGCATTTCTCCATCCTGTTGAATAAGATTAAAACTAGACATCAAAAGTGGTTACTTCTTTTATACAAATTAAAATTTATATAAAAAGTTGAAATCAGAATAAAAACATAATAAATGATAACCATATAAATAATCATGATGAAACTATCAAATTAGTTTACTTGAAAAATATGTATATTCATGCATAAATATATAAAAAAAATCTACTGTTAGTTAAGAAACAATAAAGGACTTCTGAAATTCAAAAAACTTTGCAATTTGATATAAAATTTTTAAATTCAAAACTTATTGCAATAACACGATAAAAGTGAATATGAATTCATATTCAATTATCAAATAAAATAATGTATCCATTGTGACAAATATCTGCTCCAAACAGATGATTTGGCAAACTTGTATCTTCAATGGGATATAATTGATGGGCATAACTCAGAACCAATACATGCAATCATCTTCTCAGGGCAACAAAAAAAGACTTTTCTGTTTCCTAATACCTAACTGACCCTGATAGTTTACCTATTTTCAATTTTTTTATGTCGATTGCAAAACAAAATAAGAAAGTATAAAAAAAATTTAAAAATACCAAACTCCAAGGTATATTCAAAAAGAAAAAGTCCATAAAAACTGACAAAATCAAACATTTACCTGAACAAGAAAAAACAATTGTCATATTCCTGACTTTGTAAGAAATTCTAATCCATTTTTTTTTTGTTGCTGTTATGACATAGACGATCCAAACTTTAGTTAAGAATTCAATGACAGAAAATTTCAAATGACATGGCCATGATAATTAGTTATTAAAAGGATCTCTCAATTTGGATAATAATGGGCACAACTCTGGAATGATAAAAAAGAAATGTTCAAATTAACCTGTGTTTAAAAGTTCTAGAAATAATTCAAAATTTAAATAATTTAGTCAATTGAATAGATACAAAAGTGGAGGGAGGACACAAGTAAGAGTAACACTTAAGGATGTTTAACAAGTTTAATATGATAAGTGTACTACATTATTTATTCCTAGGTTGTGCATCTAAAATTTGTACACAGTAACCCTATATTTCTCAAAATTAAATCTTTGAATCACTTATGGTATAATATTATGAAATACTTGTTATTTCTGATTCATTTTTCATACTGATAAACTTTCAAATCTTCCGATACATTTAATTTGAAAAATCTAAACATCTTTTCCGGATAAAAATTCTAAAAAAATTATCAAAAAATTTCAAATGCTAATAACCTATAAACAAGAATTTAACACAGAGCTAACTTCATTCTTCCATAATGTTCATGTATTGTGTATAAATTTTGTCTGGACATAAAAATAATATATAGTGATTCAAATTTGAATTATTTCCACTACAAGCATCATTCTTAATTTGAAACTAAAATCAACTGAAATAATGTAATTTAATGTAAATCACCATATGGTCAAACAGACTCAATTAACTGTATCCACTTCCATTAGACCTATTTATAGTTTACACAAAATAAACATTTATAAAATTAAAAGTCAAATTTTCCTTTTCAAGTCTGCATATTTTTTGTAAGGATATATCTAAAATTTAATCTTTAAAGATTATATAAGTCAATTAAGATACCACAACTTCCAACAAATTTGTGATAAAACCAATACTATTAACGAAGTTTGGGTAGATTTAAATGTATTTCACAATGAATGTGACAAGTTAATCCTTGTTAATAGATCTATATAACATAATTCACTGGGTGGAGTGTTAAATCCTCATGTAAATCTGTTCAATTATACACTCTTGATAACAGATCTAATGTCATACTTCAAACATAAACAGATTGGTAAATTATCAGACTACGACATTATTATTGAAGACGATCCACCACTTCAACTTTATCAGAAAAATACCTTTATCAGAACAGGGAAGTCTTAGACAAGTCTTATGTTCTGGCTACCTGGTTTAGTTTTCATTTTTATCCATTAAACTTTTCGTGACAAATTTCTTGCAAATACATTATTACTTTTAGTAAAAATGCATGTCCTGTATCAATATAAAAAAAGGAAATTTTGTAAGATTGCCAATGAGACAACTCTCTGCCAGAGTTCAAATGGATTTTTATTCTGCCTGTTAGAAGTAGAAAATTATTATCTTACCATAGTTATTTCCCTTGATTCCAGTATTGCATCCCGGAACATACTGTTCCCTTTCCTCTGTCTGACTCGCTAAAAAAATACAATTAAAGATGGTAAATTATATGATTTATTCAAACATAGTTTGTTATCTTTAACAGTAGATGTATTTAATAACTAAATTTCATTCATCGAGATACACATTTTTATGGAATTATTGGGTATAGGTTCACCATGAATTTTAATTTCAACAAAGTACGAATTTCGATAAGCTTGTATGTAGACTTTGGCAAACCATGAAATCAATTATCCACTAATTTTTTCTCAATCCACGAAAATAAATGAATCCATAGAATATTAAACAAAGTTTTGAACTTATTGTTAAATAGAAAAAAACAGAAAATATTCAAGATACAATGTTTTTTTTGTGTACATTTACCATAAAGAATTTATATTCTATGATATTGCTTCTACTGAAAGAAATTATTTTGTCTGATAACTTTTTTTTTTTTTTTTTTTTTTGGTTAATATCAAAATAGCACAGTTGTTATATATGTGTAGAACACAGATTTTTTAAGGTTCATTCTCAGAAAATTGATAAGAATATCTTTCTATCAATAATAAAAATTTCAAAGATGAGTGGACAGTTTAGAAAGTCGGCTCATCTGGATTAATGCGCAACCTTCTACTGAATTATACTTTTTTGTCTTATTTATACATCTGAAAATTAAAACTGAATGTATACCAAGTTCTGTGAATTTAGAATCTGCTGACACACATTTTAGAAAAATTAATGTCAATTCTGGAATGGATATATTTAAATAATCCAATTAAAATTTTATATGAGATACATTTGTAGTACCAGTAATCCTATCACATATTTCATAATTATAAGAGCATTGCAAATTTTCTGTATTTACTGTAGGTCATATAAATATTGAATTATGGTGACAAAAAGGATTTTGAAAGGTTGAAAATATTTGGACTAAACAATATAAAGAAAAATGGTGTCTATGGAGATGTTAACATACTGTATCACAATCAAACTTTTACATCGTTTGAAGCGAACTAGACAAGGACAAAGATTATGATCCACACAGACCAGACAGACCAACCAACCTTTCACCCATTCCTATAGATCCACACACACCAGACAGACAGACCAACCTTTTACCCATTCCTATAGATCCATACAGACCAGACAGACCGACCAACCTTTCACCCATTCCTATAGATCCATACAGACCAGACAGACCGACCAACCTTTCACCCATTCCTATAGATCCATACAGACCAGACAGACCGACCAACCTATTACCCATTCCTATAGATCCACACAGACCAGACAGACCGACCAACCTTTCACCCATTCCTATAGATCCACACAGACCAGACAGACCAACCTTTCACCCATTCCTATAGATCCACATAGACCAGACAGACCGACCAACCTTTCACCCATTCCTATAGATCCACACAGACCAGACAGACCGACCAACCTTTCACCCATTCCTATAGATCCATACAGACCAGACAGACCGACCAACCTTTCACCCATTCTTATAGATCCATACAGACCAGACAGACCGACCATCCTTTCACCCATTCCTATAGATCCACACACACCAGACAGACCGACCAACCTTTCACCCATTCCTATAGATCCACACACACCAGACAGACCGACCAACCTTTCACCCATTCCTATAGATCCACACAGACCAGACAGACCGACCAACCTTTCACTCATTCCTATAGATCCACACAGACCAGACAGACCGACCAACCTTTCACCCATTCCTATAGATCCACACAGACCAGACAGACAGACCAACCTTTCACCCATTCCTATAGATCCACACACACCAGACAGACCAACCTTTTACCCATTCCTATAGATCCACACAGACCAGACAGACCGACCAACCTTTCACCCATACCTATAGATCCACACAGACCAGACAGACCGACCAACCTTTCACCCATTCCTATAGATCCACACAGACCAGACAGACCGACCAACCTTTCACTCATTCCTATAGATCCACACAGACCAGACAGACCGACCAACCTTTCACCCATTCCTATAGATCCACACAGACAAGACAGACAGACCAACCTTTCACCCATTCCTATAGATCCATACAGACCAGACAGACCGACCAACCTTTCACCCATTCCTATAGATCCACACAGACCAGACAGACCGACCAACCTTTCACCCATTCCTATAGATCCACACAGACCAGACAGACCGACCAACCTTTCACCCATTCCTATAGATCCATACAGACCAGACAGACCGACCAACCTTTCACCCATTCCTATAGATCCACACAGACCAGACAGACCGACCAACCTTTCACCCATTCCTATAGATCCCCAAAGTTTACTCAAAACATTAAAATGTCCTTTAACTAGTGCATCTTGAGTGTTAGATAAATATATATGACATTCCAAATAAATCTACATATCTTTTATTCTACGACATTAAGAAATTGTATGCAACATCATAAGCTTTTGTACATGTTATTTTTTGTATTTCTACCTAACCGAGTCATGTATGATGACACGAGTCAAAACTAATCATACAGATAACCATAACATCTGTACCACCTCTCCTTTTGAAAAAGATCTGTACCACTAATCTCTTGTTAAACTTTCAATGATAAAAACTAATTCAAAGGATAGCAGTAATCCCAAGTCAAATCTATACACAAACTTTTCTATTTAAATTCAACTAGTCATAAGAAAAAGGATTAAACAACATGAGACAAATTTCTCTACTGCAAGGGAAGTCTTATAAGGTTCTTTTATTCAAGTTTTCTTCTTACAGAAAATTGTCTCCATGTTAAGGTGTAGAAAATTAACACAATATTGTTTTAAAACCTAGTTCAAAAAGTGAAAGTTGTATATATATACATAATATATTTGTTCTTTATTTCTTTAATCTTTATCCTTTAAAATATGCTACATCATTCACTAAATATTGACTAGACATTTGAATATTTAGTAGCTGTTTATGATATACAGAACATGTCTATTGTAATATTTCATTTCATATTTCTGGTCTCAATATTGATCTGAGAAGTCAATCTACTTTAGATGATTTTCTAGTTTGTAAACATCTTTTATTATTGTTTCATTTATGTCCAAGGTGGTTGTTTTTTTGTACCTGGTATTTTTTTAATATATTAACTATAATTTAGACTGTTGGTTATAAATTTTCACATTTTGTTAAACATTAGGCCTACTATCAATGCAATAGTTGATTTCAAATTGTTTAAAGGGAGGATCCTATGAAGAAATCCTATGAATCTAATCAGTATATTTGGACCATGACTTTAAAATAATATTGATCTAGAATTTTTAAGTACACAAAATAACAAATTCTCTCTGTAAAGTAACTCTCATCACAAAACAATCTTACATATATAAGTCATGTACATTTCCGTACACCTTATTATATAACACTACTATCAATTTTGACTGTAAGATTTTATTTTTAGAATAGAGCCACAGTTCTTTCCCCATAGTGGGAGGTCGTATGACAATCTGTTATAAGAGGGTAGGAATGCCCTTTACCGTCTGGCGTCAAACGGTTATTTTAATCTACCGTTAGCGTCAAATCGGTTAATATTTTACAGTGATTCGTCAAAATATCCTTCGTCAGAGGTCTTAAATAATTATCGTTATCGTTATTTTTGGAAAAAAAATAACGTGATTCGTCAAAATCAGTCGATTTTTTTTATCTTTTTTATCGTCTAAAGGAAAGTGTACATTTTATCGTCATGCACTAAAAATTACCGTTAACGTCATTTGGCAAGAATTTTTACCGTTATTCGTCATGACAGTACCCCCATTACGACCCTCTTATAAATGTGCAGATAACCAAAATCTCTGGCTTTAATTTTGGGTATTTGGATGGGACCATATGTAGGTGCTGGTGGATTCAGGGGAATAAAATAATGTCACACTTTCGTCAAGTGTTTTCCCATTGTTGATTATGCCTCTGTGCTACTGTGCTCCTTGACGTCTTCATATTTTAGCAAGCTTTGCTATAAGTCTGGGAGATTTGGCGCTAAAAATAAAATTGGTGTTCTCCAGTATTTCTAATTTTTATCAAGACCGGACAGTTATCCGGAAAATAAGTAAACTTCAAATTTGAAATTGCCGCAATCTTATCATTTGGTAAAAATGTAAAATGACACATAAATACATAAATACATATAATTCAGGCGCCCTTGGCATTTCTACATAGCACTGAAGTCACTTCAATTGCTCTTAATTTCTGGATGATTTGATTACTATATAGATGTCTCTTTGTATCTATAAGGGCCTAATTACAGTAATATGGATGTCGGCAAATAGCCGCTAGCTTATAACCAGTAGTCCAATGCCAAAAATGAATAAAAATAGAGACCTACCTTCTGTTAGCCACGTCTCTTGCATCTGGCTTAGATCTTGGAAAAGCTCTGAAAAAAAATGTAAAATTAAATACTCAAATCATTAAACTTGGGAGGAATAAGTTAAAAACATCAAGGGTAGCTCGAAATTTAAACAACCATGTCTTAAATTTTATATATATATATATAATGATTAGATCTTGGAAAAGCTTTTGCTAACCCTTTATATATATATATATATATATAATGCTTTTGATTAATTATGAGAAGTATACCAAACTATTTAATTGTCTATTACTAACTTGATATATTAGCTTCATTTATTAAAATAAAGTGTTTACCGTCTGAAACTTGAAGTAGTTCTGATCCCCTTTCCCTTCTTTTTCTATTATCAATACCACTGTCTGCTAATTTGTTTTCTGCTGATTCTGGACTACGATCTTTATTATCAATCTATGGTAAAACAAAAATAATAATATGGTTTGTATATCGCGCCACATTCTCTTGTTTTTATATTTCAAGGAAAAAGGAAAACAAAATATAATATATAGTTGAAATAGAAGATATCAGGCTTATAATTTGTACACCAGACGCACAGTTCGACAACTAAAGACTCATCAGTGACGCTCAAATAAAAAAAGTAAAAGGCAAAATCAAGTATGAAGTTGAAGAGCGTCGAGGACCCAAACATTCCAAAAGGTTTTGCTAAATTCAATTAACTTTCAATTAATAGTCGCAACAACGAGCCTTGCATATTATGTTTCCAGAGATAGAGAATATATAGCAGTTATGACAAGCATTGTAGAGACGGGGTATTTACAATGATAACGAGCTTCATGAAGGGATTTTCAGGGATATCATCTATATCTAGCCATGTATAGGGTGTAGGTTTCAGGGTTAGCAAAAACAAAGAGCATCGAATAATGACAAGGATAAAATAGAGTAATTATGATAAAGCTGAAATGACAATCCATGTAAAGGGGAATTAAGGGAGAACAGAAATTACAAATATTTTATAGGTGTTTGGGTTAGCAGCAACAAAACGCCTTTTTAGGGGTAGCAATTACGACTAAGCTGGTATGATCTTGTATCCAGGATTCAGAGAAAGCAGCAATTACGATCTTTGTTTAGGAGTTTGGGGTGCGGTGAGTTTTGTAGAAAGGTTTCAAGACTACTTTGACTGATTTTTTCATTAAGATATTGTTGGAACATATGAAATTTAAATGGATATGTTCTTTGTCCATATCTTATTCTTCAGAGTTAGAAATACAGGACTGATAACTCAAACTCAGTACACTTAAGTTATAAAATTCAGTTCATTGCATTTTTTTTGTAAATACTTAACTTTATCATAATTTTTTTCACGTTTTCAATCTTTTTAGTATAAGAAAACACATAATTCGTCTATCCAAATACGAATTTACACACGTCACAAATTTTAAAGCGGTCCGTTTTTAGTAGGTTTTCTCCAAAGTCATTCGTATAAAAAATATATATAAATTATCAGGAAATGATACTAGTGTTAAACGATAACAATATTTGTCTTTCAGGAAAAATGAATAAAAAAGATTATATACAGAGCTCATTAACTCATATTCTGTTTTCTATGTTATCCTTGATATGGCAGAGTACATGCTTACTATAGGACCATTGTCAAACCACACCCAATCCTTACAAAAAAGAGAGAACTGTCTGAAATGACATGTATGCACGTGCATAAGACCCCCTGTAATGTACAAGACCGACAATGTTTGAATTTAATTCTGTAAAAGAATCAATGAAATCGGGGGTTTGTCAGTTTTTTAGGAGGAGTTGCCACCGCCGGAAAGTGCAGATGAACGAGACAATTATAATATCTTGACAATAACATAACACGAAATTATAATATTTTAATCAAACAAAAATTAGAAGGCAAATTTTAGGAATATTTTTGCTGAATTAACATAGAGCACAATTAACCATCACCAAAAACTTTATTTGGCAAGCGATTACAAATTAACACAATATCCCGTATTTTATATATTTGCCGCGGACAATGTATCAGTGTGCTGTGATTCTTATTTTAGTATTTACTTAAAGTTTTGATATAAAAATTCCACAAACAGAAATCTATATCTAGCAAAGAAAAAGTATACACTTTAAAACGTTTTCAGAAACACACTAATGGTTTTTCTGAAAGACATACAATCGTCTAATGCCACATACAGAGAGAAATAGTGCAGTAACAATATAACGGCACCTGGCCTGTAGAAGCAAAAGCATTACTTTTTAGAATGCTCGGTCTTTAGTAGAGGGTTGTCTTATTGGAAATTAACTAAAGTCTTTTCTTACCCTTTTTCCTACTTTAAAAGCTGTAAAAATTATATGCGGCGACAAACACCTTTTTGCTACATGAATGCTATAGTATCAATTTTGTCATAGTTGAATATATTCATATCACCATCGGAGGCGGATTTAGGGGGAGGCAGGGGGCCAGGCTATAGAGCTTCCTATATGATGAATGCATAGACTTTTTAAAAGTAACACCCTAAACATTGGCTTGCCAGCCCCCCTTTTTTTAAATCCTGGATCCGCACCTGACCATCACGGCAATTTTCCATTACAGATGAATAAATAAATGAAAATAAATTTTACATGGTACCTAGCTGGCATTGAAGTTCCTTATTAAACAACAGACAATAACAATGGTAGTAATTCAAAAAAGTATAATTGTAAAAAAAAATAGCGACAATTTAGTAAATACTGCGATTAATCATGTTTTTACCTTCCCGTATGCACAATTGCATTATTGATTTTTTATACTTGCTAAACAAACACTCTTGAACCATATAAAGAACCGTTCTGAAATAACATTTATGCACGTGCATGGACCCCCTGTAATGCAAAAACTATTACACACACGACCGATAACAGCACTGAATAAAGATATTGTAACGAATCAATAATTGGAAAATTGCAAATGCTTTAAGCTATCACATTAGTTAAGGAATATTTAGTCACTTTTACATTTTTCGTTTGATCTGTTTTCGTATCATAATATATCTATTTGAATGTACGACAAAATACAGAAAAAAGAAACAAATAATATCTTTACTTTACAGTAACATTTGTATGATTTTTCTACGAATCAGACAATAATTTGAGAATGGTCACAGTCAACGGTAATATTAGTTTCTTTGCTCAAGTCGAGAAAATTTATACTCCTTTATAAACAATATAATCTTTCCAATAAAAAAGACATACCGTGTTGTTATTACACTCTAACATCACGTAGATTAGACTAAACTTACCCCTAGGTTAGTGCTTTGTGCCCTATATACTTCAGGGACTCACCATTTATCTATATGTATACCTGGAGAAGTACTCATTGGTTGTTACCTTATGCCCGTATGTGCACCAGGAGATTTACCCTGTTCCCAAATGTACACTTGGAGATTTACCCCTTGGTTGTTGCCTTATACCCATGTGTACACCTGGAGACTTACCACTTGGCTGTTGCCTTATACCCATGTGTACACCTGGAGTCTTACCACTTGGTTGTTGCCTTATACCCGTGTGTACACCTAGAGACTTACCACTTGGCTGTTGCCTTATACCCGTGTGTACACCTAGAGACTTACCACTTGGTTGTTGCCTTATACCGGTGTGTACACCTAGAGACTTACCACTTGGTTGTTGCCTTATACCCGTGTGTACACCTGGAGACTTACCACTTGGTTGTTGCCTTATACCCGTGTGTACACCTAGAGACTTACCACTTGGTTGTTGCCTTATACCCGTGTGTACACCTGGAGACTTACCTCTTAGTTGTTGCCTTATACCCGTGTGTACACCTAGAGACTTGTCACTTAGTTGTTGCCCTGTATGTACATCGACAGACTTACCACTTTGTTATTGTCTAGATAAGGAACTTCTTGATCTTGTTGTGTGCCAGTATCACTACTCATGGCCCGTCGATGAACTTTGAAGACACATTGGCAAGTTATTCTTCGTGTCAAATCTAAATGAATGAAAAAATAGAAAATAAGTTAATCCTTATATCTAAGATGAATGCACAGTGCTTATTTTTGTCACATGACACACTTCATCAATTTTACATCAATTCATAAATAAGATAAAGTTGAAAAAATTTCAAAACACCCCAAAAAGGTTATAATTGAAACATTTGAGTGAACCGAGGGTGTATACAGAATTTAAGAGAGCAGAAATGACACAAGCAGCCTGTAAATAAATTGCAAAGGACATTTTGGATAAAACAATGCTTAAACTTGGCAAAGATGGCTTATTTGTTTATTTTGTTTTAGTCATTTTACAATTAACAGTTTGTAACTTGTTTAAATACAAAAACAAATTGACTTTTCACATGAGATCTCAGAAAAAGAGAAAGACAAATTCCTAGTATAGTGACAAAATATTTCCGTGATTAACCATTAAGCTAAACCATCTTGTATGTTTTAATAGTAGCACTGCAGCTGACACTGTAATCTGTTTCGCGGTATGGGGTTCCCGCCAAATTGCACGAGACTTCATCAATAGATCCAAATGTTAAACAATAATTACTCTATATTCGGTTAACTTTTCATAATCAATTTCAAAGAAGCCAGTCTGGATCACTGTTAGGGTTATGCGGGTCTTATGACTTTAGAGTTAATGAGAATCTGTACGTGTTTTAGGAAACATTTCCATTTTATTCCATTTCGTTTGCAGAAGTCTATTCTAACAGTTCTATCATGGCGTGGTTATAATTTACGTATTTCTTATTGTTGAAATTCTATTCTTTTAAAATGCAAACCGTATGCAAACTTCAAATTTGTATATTTTATAAGTTCGTAAAATTTGGCCTTAGACTCTGGTTTTAAAATGCCTATCGCCAATAATCTTAATATTGACAATTGCATACCAAATGTAAAACAATAACTGTGAAAGTTAATAAAAATTCTGAAGTCACGTCACGTCAAATTTCATTTCAAATGATAAAAACATTTATATTTTTTTAAGCATTTAGGATTTGTATTCGCAAACAATCTCATGATTTTCTACAAAATACACATTGATGAAATGATCAGCGCTTTTCTTGCTGTACTGTATCCTGATCATTGATAGAAGGTTGGAGGATAAAGTGTTCACACTTTACAGCAAAATAAAAACAGACCTAGCGCGGACTATAAATGCTCTAGATAGAAAATAAATGCACCTTTACCACGGTGTTGTAGTAATTAAACAACTCGAGATGTTTCCCTTCAAATTTTCTCATTAATATGGACTGATTGAGCTATTCCTTCATTCATTCATTCATAAAAAGATATATATTGCTGTCAGCTATCAATTTCAAGATTTAAAAAAAATGAATTGTAACTGGAACAGACTATTAGACGATTAAAAACAAACCTGTCAATGAAAAAATGCATTGTTAATTATTTAAAAAAATAACTTGTGAATTTCTAAAATTTCTTATAATTGAACTGCTAATGTATAAACGTTGGTTGGCATTAATATATATATCGTTTTGAGATCCACTGTGCTTATCGGTGCAATGAAAATTAACACACATAACAACCAGTAAATGTGATGGTCAAGATATATTTGTTAACAAAAACATAACAAATAAACCTCTTTTCTTTTGTTATTAATTAATCCATTGTTTAAAATAACCCTATATGACGTACTTGCAGTTCCACAATTTATCGTACAAACTCTATTCTACTCGTCATCAAAATTATGTCTTATTTTATATCGATATTGTAAATTGATATCACCGACAAATTTGCCAAAAGCCATTATTTCTCAGATTTCTAACCGACTACTAACATGTATTTTCAATGAATTATTCAAACGTCTATTACAGCCCTGTGCTGTCGTCCTTTTATAACAATTGTGTCGAGCTTTAATTGAAGGGACAGGACGGTTAATGAAAATCAAATAATGTCATATTTTTATGAACAATTTCCTGACAAAAGATGAAACAAAGTATTACTGTTCAATTTGCACTAAATGGTACTAAATTGCACAGACACCACGTTGCTTAATTTGAAATATAAATTAAGTCCTTTGACTGCTTGTATACCTTAAATGAATATAACATTTATTTTTTTCATCCCAGGACGTCCACAGAATTATTCACACTGATAAAAACACATTAAGACATATTGTTACAATGTTTTCCATAGATTGCTTAGAAAATAAGTAAAGAAGTTCCGAAGCGATATCATAGACTAGAGAATTTGTTTCTTCAATTGTACTACGCGATTCAGAATGAATAATCTACCAAATACATAATACCAGTACCAAAGTTGTAGGCTCTGAGTGGCTGGATCGTACCCTATCGACAAACAGTGTTCCGATTGTTTTGCGAATAATAAATAATAATATAATTGTGTGGTTTACCTAATTCCGACGGATGTATAACTATGACCATGTTTCTATCCATCATTACAAAACCGTTGTTTTATACACAAGCTAAACTTGAAGCATAACTTTAATTCTGAATTTTGAATCTAGAATTTAGAATGCCAAATTCTTAATTTATATATTTCGAGTTAATTCAAACAACCCAACTTAAGCATAAATGTATCTTTCGGAACAGGCTCTGGCCTTTGTTAGTCTTGTATGTTTTTTTAATTTTAGTTCATTTATATGTTTTGGAGTTTAGTGTGACGTCCATTTTCACTGAACTAGTACACAATTTTATTTAGGGGCCAGCTGAGGACCACCTCCGGGTGCGGGATTTTCTCGCTGCGTTGAAGACCCATTGGTGGCCTTCGGCTGTTCTCTGCTCTTTGGTCGGGTTGTTGTCTCTTTGACATAGTCCCCATTTCCATTCTCAATTTTATTTGGATATTTTGTGTGTTTATTTAACGATTGTATCTCATAGAAAAGAGAACTATTTTGTTTTTAATAAAATGTAAAACATACATCATTTAGAATTTCTCACAATATGTTAGAAGCAATCAAAATGGCTTTCATCTGACGTGTATGATTATTGGCAGTAATGAATAGGTTTGGGAGTATTTTGGTGTTGTAATAATTGACTTCCAATACCCTAAATTGAGCGTTCATTGATAAATTCACAGCATATTCACAGTCGGTTTATTAAGTGAAATAAATCCAGTAAAATTGGTCTTCCTTCTAGTTGGGATAATAACATACCATTCCATTTGTAATTTAGTGAATAATGGCTACACCAATACTATCAGTATCCTTTGTAAACAAAGAACTCATGGAGAAATTATGAATTTATACTGTTATACTTAAACCCTTTTTAGAAGAAAAACACACATAAACAATAAAAAATCAGTTTTTCCTGATCATCTGCAAAGCATACCCGAGTTACACACAGAAATGTTAATCAGGTAAGATGTCTTCAAAATAGTCTTTTTACTATGTTGTTTATCAATCGTTTTCTCATTAGGTTTTATTTGAATACAATGACATAATACCAAATTAAAAACTATAGAGATAATATTCAAATCACGATAGAGTTTTGTCTTGAAGAGTTTTACTTTCCAAAGAGTATACAACATACGCGAAATTTAAATATATAGAGAAAACAAATGTCGTTTTATATTAATGAACTAATACTAAAAACTAAGAAGACAGGATTGAATTTGTTAAGGATTTCATTTGAAAAATTTATAGTAGGTACAGATAATTTAAGATTGGGACCACACGGCTTTTTATCAAAACAATTTCTGATTTCCCAAATGAATGTCGAATTAAGCTTTGCCATGGGTTGGATGCTGAGAGTGACGGTTTTAATCACTTGTTTTTCCCTGGATAAGTGTTCTTTCTCAATAATTGAGACTTTTGTCGCTTATTTCTGTAGGTATATGTTCTTACTCCCGAATAGTGTCTTTTCTGCTTGTTTTGCTAAATTGAATGTTTGACTTCTGAATTGAATTTTTAAATGAGGATTTCTTATAAGACAAACAGTCTTTTTTCAGGATTAAGTTTATGTTTCTGACTTTACTGGATATATATATATATATATATGAAGTTGTCCTCCCGGACGGACTCCTGAAGATACGACTTGATCCTGCAGGACAAAACCTTGTTTTCTGTAAGGTGAATGTTTTTTCTTCCAGAGATAAATGTCTGTCCTCTCTTATGAGGCCGTTTGTTCCTTGTTTAGAATTGAATGTTCCTACTCCGAAGATAAAAGTTTACACTTTCTGGTGAAACCTATTGGTGCTTCTTTTAATTCAGATGAATGTTCCTATAATCCCCGATGAAACCTTCGCGGTTTGTATTTTTGTGTCCTTACTTGTTGAAGATAGAGCAAGGATTTTTCGTATCATAAACCACGATTGTTTGGCGTTAGAAATTCAGTTATTACCTACCATCTTATTTTAAAATCCCTGTAACCAAGTCCGAAATATGGCAGAATATTTAATAAACTATGACAATGTCCTATTTCCATTGGTTTCAAAATGATCTTAGTCTTATATAGTAGTAGAAGGGCGTTGCAGTTTTCAAAAATAGGAGTGTCGGGCACCTCACCTCTGCAACAAAATAAGATTTTTTTTGTGGTGAGCGAAGTAACGAATTTTATTTCTTCTGCTGAATGCACTTTAGTTAATCATTATATTCTATTTAAGTATATTAAATGAAACAAAGGTAACACATTAAAGAAAAACAGAATATATTAAAATCAAAACCAAACAACAAACAACAAATAAGACAAATAAGAATTCGATGGCCAAAATTTCAACATTTGAACAATGCAAATACATTTCGTTCAACTATGTGTACAATGATAATAACATTTAACGAATTTCGCGCGTCCGAAGCTCATTTCTGTTTTACCTTCGTCAGGGACGCTCAACCTAAACATTTGAAAGTCAGGGATGTATAAGCAGATACATGTACAAAACAAAGTTTACCATTGAGAAAGATGAAATAAAGAATTGTGCTGAAAATGTTATTTCGTAAAACTATGTTGCAGTTGTTCTTAAACGCGGTGTTGTTATTCTCAGTGACACAGAATGCTCAAAACGTTATTGCCTTCCCGAAAACACTTTTGACAGAAAAATTGAGAAACAGGTGTTATGAGCCTTACCCTTTCAATCTATTTGTATATTCTCATTTAAAACTTACAACGATTAAAAAACAAGGGTTTTATTCATATGCATAACACATAACATAAATGAATTTGAAACGGGGAAAGAAATGTCGGTCATAATATGTCCATATGCTATTATTACAAAAGACCTCAGATTAAAATCATCTTCTAAAAAAGGAGATATTTGGAAACTTTAGACCCAGGTCTTGGGTGTAGCTGATGAAAAAAAATTCCAGAAAACAGGTGTCATGTGCAATAAAAATTAGCACCATACATTTATTTTCAATTAATGGGTAATGAAGAAATTGATATGGTGTATTCTAAATTTAAGAATGCATCTGTTTTTTGATAATACTGTTTAATGTTTGAACAGATACGCAATGTCCATTTAAAATTCCACAAAATTATGCAGATTCATTTAATAAGTTTAATCCTTATTGTTTTTTATTTTCCCCTTTTTTTAGTTATAAATACTGTTTTAGCTCGTAAAGAGATTACATTTTGTATATTATTAACAAACTATTTTCAAATTATTTTCAAAGTTCAATGAATATTTTATTTTGAGCAAAACTATTAAACATTCTATACGAAAATAAGAGAAAATATTTCTGTGTATAGTTGAATATTTCCCTAGAAAGTTTTTTAGTGGGATAGACCAGAGGAATAATGAAATCACATTTCGTAATGATTGTTATAAATGCAAATGACGTTGAATTATATCCTACTGAGCAAGGTACCTGCACACAAATATTTAGCATTGAAGGAGATGCTTCAGTTATTTTCACATTTCTTTGATTATTTTGAAAAAAAATATGTAATACTCCACTATTTTATCTTCTGCATACAACTTAATTTTACTTTTCTCATTATTATCTGTACAACATACCTATCCAATACACAATTATGACCACATTAAAGAAATATTTTAAAATGATATTTAAAAACAATCAAAATTAAAAAAAAATATAGATTTATTTAAAGATACAAACGATATAGATTTATCTAAACATAAAAAACGATTTACTTCAAATAAACATACAAGATAAATAAATAAAAGATATCTCACATTTCAATAAATTAATATCAATACTAATATGGAATAACACCAGTACTAACCATCCAGTTGTTTTTTAATGTAACAAATGGTAACATTGACAAAATAATAATAATATTATAATAATGATAATAATAATAATAATAATAATACTTTTAATGATAATAATAATTTATTGACAATAAACAAAAATCATTATTTTAATTATTATATCAATAAGATCATTTCTAAAAATTGTTCTTACCTTAGAATCTGTTTATTAAGTAATTGTGTCCGATTAATAATCCTCAGGATATCTGCAGTATAATCTTCTAGTAATGAAATACGTCAACTTATCAATAACTGATTCAAACTTTGAAAAACAAGGGCCTTACATCTTCATCTTAGAAGAGCTTCTTTTTGATTGGCTGTTTACATCTATGCACGTGGGGAAGATCCAGACGACAAATCTCTGGCAAGAAAATCTGGTATTGAAGAAAAATATGCTTAAATCACTAATTAAACATTATGGTTTAGAACAGATATGATCTACATGCTTGAGTTGATGCAAGGTAGCAGTTTCTCCAATTTTTATCTTTATTTTAATACGTATAAATAACTTCTGATATTTTGCAAATGTTATCAAATGTTATCAAATCTCTCCATACCATTACTGTGAAGCATTGTCCCATTATAACTGCCTTTCTCTTTTTCAATTAAATCGAAGCATATCTTTTTTTATTAAATTAAACGCATATTGAATAGCATGTCTTTTCGATTTTGTTTGTTTGTTTATTTATCTCAGTTTTATTTTCGAACATTTTGAAAAGAATTTTAGTAATATCTGAAAAGATTTAAAATGTATTAATTTGAAAACATTCCCCCTTTTTTCAATGCGTTTTACGCTCTTTTGCAGAATTTAGCTTTTAATGCCTTGCAATAGTAACTATATGATAAATTATAATACCAACATGATATTATTTTTTATTCTGTTTTTTTAGCCTATTTAGCTTTTAAATATAATTTTTTCTCCAAAGAAAAGAGAACAAAATTAAGAGTCTAAAACGCGTCACAATTAATGCACACATTTTTCATTGTTTAGTCAATATGAGAACGCATTCAATTTTACCGGACAACAGTTGCAAATTCAATCATCATTTTCTGTAATGATAATCAATAAACAACTAAATAAAGCGTGACAAGTAGGATAATACAGTAATATTTACAAGTTTGACAGATTTGTCTAAACCATTTAAAGGTAAGATTACAGTTTGTCTTCCAGAAAACTACTTTTAATCACACTTTTTACTATGAATACAGGCAATATTAGCTGATAAGAGAATAAAAAAACCTGTAAAATATCATAGTTTCAAAGCATATGAGTAACATGTTCTTAATAAACATGTGTTGCATCAAATAAATCTTGCCAAAACGAAGGAATGTTACCCAAACTGCCAGAATCAGAATATTATTTTACGCCTTAATTTGTTGAAGCTGCAATTAAAATCAACAAAATGTTCAAATGTTATACGATAATCACTTAATAATTTTCCTTTCACTATTAAAAAAAAATGTATATTGAAATAAGCAGTGGCATCACTCTGATCATAATGTCTAAAATAAATGAAGTGAACATCGTCGTTTTATAGATATTAGTATGCAAATCAACCACAACTCAGTTCGATTGAAGTTTTGGGTTTCAAGTTTTATTTTTTCAAAGATCCTTATTGGGTTATTTGCAACACGATAGGTAGCACATGAGGAGCAGGATCTGCTTACCATCACGGAGCACCTTAGGTGGGGTTCGTTTTACCCTGTCTTTATATAGTGTTTTGTAGACTGTTCTTTGTATCATCGTTTTTCGGTTTTTAGCCATGGTTATTTTTGTCTCTTCGAATCACGAGTTTTAATTCTCTGTTCGGTATCTTCCGCCTTTTTTTCACAAGACAATAAAATAATACAATAGTAATGTGAATTATTTGTATAAAAAATCTGACATTTTTAAAGCATAGTATACAATGAAATACGCCGTTGCGAAAATATATAGATGTTTTAGGTAGCCGACATAAAAGCAATTATAGATCCTAGATATGTGATATACATTTTGTCAAGTTACAACTGATACTATAATTTTACAAACTTTACTAAGATAAGTATCATTTGATTAGGCATTAAACAAAGTTTCCAAATTTACAATGTTTTATAGTAACGTTTATAAGAGGTAATATTTTTTCCGCTTTCTTTATTAAAAAAGTATATTCAATAAACAGTGAGATCACCCCGATCATATAATGTTTCTAATTTGGAGGCGTATTTTTTTATTTTACGACAATCGTTTAATAATTTTCCTTTCACTATTAAAAAAATGTATATTCAAATAAGTAGTGACATCACTCTGATCATATAAAGTCTCTAATTTAGAGGTGTATTTTTCATTTTACGACCATCATGCACTGATACTAATTACAATGTCATTATTTGACTTTCATTAAAGCACACGTAACATTGACAAAGACAAGTAAAAGTTACTTTGTAAATGATCGTCTGCTAATTTCAATACCATTTAATTTTATCTGTAACTTCAGTGATGTTGTAAGTTTGTATATACAACTGAATTTAAACTCGACAAAAACTTCAATCATGTCTTTTGATGTGTAAGATTTGTTTTGCTGTCGGGTGCCCCAAGTTTTTCATTAATCCGCCCTGAAGTCGCATTGGCACTCGACATCAACACAATCATTTATTATCCATAACTACATTGTAACTTTTAAACAGTGGAATTCTTCTGAAGAAAGTTATTTTTCTTTTCGTGATTTCAGTTTCAAAGTAAACAAGAAAATTATAGATATACAGTAAAGTTGATGTTTAGTTTGATATTATCCTGATTTGCAGCTCTTAACTTTTGGACGACGAATTATTTAAGAACTATTATGACAAAATGGGAACGCATAAAAAATATAAAAAAAACAAAGAAACATCGCTCTATCGTATGTCACTTATTTTTCAAGTCATCCATGTTTCTGTGTTGATTGTTTACCAAGTTCACGATTATTCTAACTCCGAGCAGACCAGTCTTCATTCTTACTACTAAGTGCCTTGTGCCTAGCGGAGAAGCAACAAATAAATACCAATTTTCAAACCTTTGGTTCACCCGGCCGGGGACTGAACCAACGACCTCCGACAATCGAGTCGAAAACGCTACCAAGAGGCTACAGAAACTACAGAGGTGGTTTTAAAGGTGTCAATTTGAACGGGACACTAGTATCATTGGAAAAGAGTATACTCATACTCATCCAAAACGTTTATTTTATTTAGACATCAATGTGACATTTTGTTGAAATTATAGCCCTGGCATAACCTTATTGTGTATTAGTATATCATCAAAACTGGTTGTTCATTTGAAAATAAAATGATCTTATTCGGACAAAATTTAGGTGATAAATAAAGGTGCTCTTCATATTTTGACATGCTTTTTTTTTAGCGGTTTCCACTACAAATAAAATTGACTGGGCCAATAGTTCTTAATCTCGTTTGCTTTGAAGCTAGGATGTATTTGCATCTTAGATCTTAAAATTAATTACGACTCAAACGAATAAATCATATATTTTCATTTTAAATCCTTATTAGTTTGGTGAATATATTTAATTCATGCATTGCAAGTTAGTCTTACAAATACAAATGATACCTAAATAGCTTCTTCAGCATTGCATGCTCGGAGAGAGATGATAGTAAAAACCACTCTATACTGACTTTCTATCTATTCGGATTTATTAATTCAAAATGCAACGACTCGGTAACCAATTCCCAGCACTTTTTGAATCTTTGCGATATCATTGAGGTAAGATTTTTCTTAGATCAAGTAAAATATTCAGATAGTTTAAAACAGTTGGTCTCTTATCTTCTAGAGGTTAAGCTAGCTATAAAACCAGGTTTAATCCAACATTTTCTACATAAGGAAATGCCTGTACCAAGTCAGGGATATGACAGTTGTTTGCCATTCGTTTGATGTGTTTGAGCTTTTGATTTTGCCATTTGATACAGGACTTTCCGTTTTGAATTTTCCTTGGAGTTCGGTATCTTTGTTATCTTATCTTCTACTTGGGTTTTTAACACAGCAATTTGCTTTGAGGTACACTTATTTATATCCCTTTTTAAGAATTTTTGATCTATATGTCATTTGTACTTATATTTTAGACAGCAACAAAAAGGTCTACTCTTCAGTCGGTGCCTCTTAATATTTTTCTATTTGCTTTCTTCTGACAAGTTTAGTGTACATTTTTATGCAATTATAGCGCATTTACACAATGAGAGAGGGTTGAATGATCAGAATGTGCTCTTCTTCTGCGTCTATGCCAGTTGTTTTAGTCATCTTCTTTTTATAATTCTGTCTGGTGTTTCTACCTGATATGAGATAATTGGTTGTCTACTCAGAAAATTTTCACATTTGCTTTAGCTTAACTGATGATATGGATGGTTGTCCATTATTGTAGGATATATATACCTACATATATTTTATTTCTTTTCCTTCGTGTCTTAAGGAACAGTCATTTTATTGGCAACAATGTTTGATCTGCTTATATTTATATCATGTGTATAAATTTTCAAGATGCAATGACAGATGCATAAACCCGTAAGATAAAAATATTTGAAAAAAAGTGTCAGATAACCTCTTACCTTAAGAAGAATACTTTAGGTTATTTTTTTGATATCCGAAAAAATTGTCAACGTTACATCGACCCCATATTTTACCAGTCTTAAAAAGTTACAGAGTTTCAAACATTAAACTAGCTATTTATGTTCATAAAATATTATCTAAGCTTTAACATAAAATACAAACAATTTACCAACTTATTAGTTTTCTTTGATATGGAATTAGTACAGGATCTAAGTTGTCATCCTAATTTAAACAAACAAGACAGTCTATCCGATAAAAGGTTCCTGTATTAACGTCCACTTGCCTAATTTGTCCGTTGTATGGTATGATGAGACAAATACTTACAAATGTCAATTACACGGTTTGAGATAGGTATTTTGTAGACAAGATATACACAATATAAATAAAAGAATTCCACACACAACATCAGATAGTCATACTATTTACTTATTTTACTAATGATTAATAACACGGAGCATTTAACGGAGACTTTGATTATATATAGATTAGAATAACTTCTGATTTTCTATAAATAATATTGGCTATTTTTTTTTCTAATTCGGAAAAGAAAATACTGTTAGGAACAACGCATAATAAGAGTATATCGGAGTTCAAATTGTCAGTTTGGAAAAATTGAGCAAAGACGTACTCAGTTAAAAATTCAGTATTCTATAAATTTTTTTTACTGAGTAAATTAAGTCTGA